AATAATACGGAAGAATACAGAATCTACATTCCCTTCAGTTCTTTTCCCTTTTTCTGAAATAATTATTGTTAGTCGGTGCCCCTGGGTTATGAATACCCAGTTTACAGAAAACTCCTACTTTCAAACCAAACTGATTCTGTCAGAGCTGACACAGCAAAACAGGAGCAGACCAGAAGTTCTACAATTTTGGTAGTTTGTCAGATAACTGGAACAGGAAAAATTACAGGTTGGAATCCTGGAATGGCAGAAGAAGTGTAGTGAGCCCTTTCAGGAACCTGCTATATGCTATTAGATTATTGGCAGGACTGTGAAAAGTCACATTCAGAGTGGCTCAGTTGGTACCATCTTTGATCAGGGTGACTCTGTCTTTGAGCAGGACCCTGCTTCAGTGTTGCATTGAATAACATAATAATATGCCTTCACTTTGAAGCAGTTGAACCAATCTCTTCTCATAGTTACCTTCACTTGCTGCTTTTAAATTGCTGCTTGTAGCTGTATCTTTAGTCTATACTTAGGTGTTCTGACAGCTTTCTTCCTATAACTTCATTTTGCCTTCATCTTGCAAATTCCATTTCTTTGTTGGATACTGTTACATTTGGGTCACATGCTTTGTTTTCTTTAGTTATCTCCTCTGAAAAAGTTGTTGTTATTGTTAAGTGCCGTGGAATCAATTCCGACTCGTAGCAACCCTGTATAGGGTTTCTAAGGAGTGGCTGGTGAGCTTGAACTACCAACCTTGCGGTTCAAACCAACCTTGCAGTCCAGCACATTAATCCACAGCACCACACAAAGATTCCTCATAAAAAATATTGAAACCTTTTATAGCTGAAAGCATCTTTCTTTTGTCCTATCACTTACTTAATAGTTTAGCTGGATATGAAATTGGAGATTGGAAATATTTTCTTTCATAATTTTGAAGCCATTACTCCTGTGTCTTATCATGTTAAAAATACCATTATCATTCTTCTAGTCATGTTCCTCTTTTGTTTTCTTTGGAAATTTTTTGAATCCTTTATAATTTTCATAAATCTCAGGATGATGATTTTTGTAAAGTTATTGTAATGATTATTACATAAGTTCATGGTGCTTTTGATATTCTTCTTCAACACCATAATTCAAATGCATCATTTCTTCTGTGGTCTTCCTTACTCTCTAGAGGTCCAACTTTCACATGCATGTGAGGTGATTGTAAACACCAAGGCTTGGATCAGGAGCCCCTTAGTGTTGTTGTTAAGTGCCGTTGAATCAGTTCTGACTCATAGAGACCTTGTATCGGGTTTCCGAGGAGCATCTGATGACTTTGAACTGCCAACCTTGTGGTTCAAACCAACGTTTCTGTCCAGTACTTATCTTACAGCACCACACCAGAACTTCGATTTTAAAAAGATGATTATTAGTCTACTTAGAATTTTCTCAACTTATTCAATTCTGTAGGTTTGTCTTTCACCAGATTTGTAAAGTTTTTAGCTGTTATTTCTTTCAGTATTCCCCCCTGCCACTTTTATTAGTGTGTTTTCCTCAGATTGATTTGAGAAGTTCTATTGTTCTGTCCTTAATTTTGTTATAATTTCCATTTCATTGCTCAAGTTATCTCTTTTTTCATTTGCTTAAAGGGAATTCATAATTACTTATTGAAACAACTTTCTGATGGCTGCTCTGAATTGTTATTTCCAGTATCTGATTTATCTTGGTGCTGACCTTTGTATTTTCTCACTTAAGGTGTGATTTTCCTGGTTCTTGTTCTGATGACTGATTCTGATTTATGTTTGACATTTTGGATATTTTGTTAGCTGACTTTTGATCCCATTCAAATCCTTTAGTAGACATACACAATTACTCTGTTTAGGTTTAGTTTAGTATGTAGGTTCCAGTGGACCACTTGTCTTTGCTGAGGTCCTCCTGTGGATGATTTGGGCCCACATGCCTGAGCTCTAGTTGCAGAAATTGCCAAGACACATGGACCCATCACTACAGATAAATGTGAGATGAGAATGGATTGTCCATGCCAGGCTGTACTTCAGATATATCAGAGTCTCTGGTGCCACCCAGTATGAGGCAGAGGGGTGAGTTTATTTATTAATTCCAGAGTATTTAGTAGTATTTAGAGAGGAGGAACAAATTAGTCTTAGAACTGGAATATTATATGAAAGCATTTTCATAGTTTAATTGGCAGTTTTTTATAACTAATGGTGGATCTTTAAATTTATGATTTAGATAATGTGAAATATAATATTTGAAATCCTTCCTCTAAGTATGTACTTCTTTAATTTCTTTTAATAAAACCAATAC